CACACACACACACACACACACACACACACACACACACACACACACACACACTCTCTCTCTCTCTCTCACACACACACACACACACACACACTGACACACACACACACACTGACGCGCACACACACACACACATTGACGCGCGCGCACACACACACACACACACACACACACACACACACTCACACACACTCACACACACACTTGTGTGCACTAACAGTATTTCATGTCCATGTACAAAGGGAGATGTGAGTGAGAGCCCTGTGTCATGTCCTGTGAAACTTGCTTGTCCTCAGAGCACATGCTTACGTACACATGCACCCACACACACATACACACACACACACACACACACACACACACACACACACACACACACACACACACACACACACACACTCACACACCTGTGTCATGTCCTGTGAAACTTGCTTGTCCTCAGAGCGGAGATGGACGAGTGGGTGAATCTTTTGGACACTCTGATGTCGTCTTGCAAGGCCGCCTGTTTATGGCTCGCAGCAAGGCCGCCTGTTTATGGCTCGCAGACTACCTGGCCAGCGCTGAGGGGTCAGAGATGGTCAAGTAGGAAAACTTTACTTTATTTTACTTTACTTTTCCGATCCAGCGGCCATTTGGGTTCTAGCCCTTCGGTCTGTCGATATGGCAAAGAATTTGCAGAACAGTTTTAAAAAATTTTCCACTGCAGTTTTATTCTTTTTGTCTTCTCTGTGTGAATTAGAAAAGCAGTAGGGAAAAGATGCTCTCAGCTGTGACTAAAGCTCTACTTAATTTGAGCCATGATCTGATTAGTGCGATAGTATATTCATGTAAAGTCTTATAGACAATCAGGAAAATTTGCCAACTTCTTTGATGTCCAGGGTACGACACAAAACTTTAAACTTCGCATTTTCATCTTGTACCAGGTACGTTATAATAATAATAATAATAAATAGCATTTGTATAGCGCATATCCCCGCTCAACAGCAGGCTCTATGCGCTTTACACTATATTATTACCCCAGCAGACCATAGAACACTCTGAAACATTCTCAGCTTCCCGGGAAGCATACAGTGCAAGCAGCCGATTGAGCGCTCAAACACTAACAAACTGACAAGATCTTTCGCTGTCTGTAGCCGGGTACCCATTCCCACCTGTGTGAAGTGAGGAAAATTCGTGTAAAGTGACTTTCCCAAGGACACAACGCCGGGCCCTTGACGGGATTCGAACCCTTGAACTTACGGTTGCGAGTCCGAGAGCCCAACCATTAGGCCACCGACGCGTTATAAGGCAATGAAGGTGTTAAGTCAGGTTCAACTGTAGAAAAGTAAAGTGAAAGTGCTTGTTTATAGTCATGTATTCCCCCAAATTATTGTATGAACAAATACACCCCCCCCCCACCACCACCACACCCACCTGAACAGAATAAACCCGGAACTTCCCCCAATGTGTCCCTTGTGTGACTATGCATATGAGACTGTGGAGCATCACCTGTTCCACTGCACAGCCCTAAATGACATCAGAGCTACCCTTCTCCCTCCGAGACCTAACATAGACAACACACTCTATGGAACTTTACAGCAACTGCAGCAAACCTGCACTTATCACTACATGGCATTGGACAGAAGGGCAAGAGCCCAGCTGTTGCTGGATCGATAACAACAACAACAACAACGACCACCACCACACACACACACAGTGAAGCAGCCAGCAAAGCAAATTCTGCTGCCATTCACAAATTCAATCTCTATTGATTGTCATGCTTTCATCTGCAACGGAGTGAACAAAGAAATTTTGGGTAAAATTCTTTTCTTTTCCGTGGATTCAATGACCTACCCATTGAGGGTGGGAATTGAATGCAGAACTTTTTTATTTATCTGTCTTACGCCTTACTGCTCGACTAAGACGTACTTGGTCAAATTGGGAAAATATGTTTGAATACTTCATCTTCATCATCATTGCCTTTCTCACCCTGGGTCAGGATATAGGCCACGAACAAACACTTTCCACCTTTCCCTATCCTGGGCTAGTCGCTTGATGTCACTCCACGTCTTCCCACTTTTCTGTACATCCATTTCCGTGACTCTTCTCCAGGTTCCACGAGGTCGTCCCCTTGATCTTTTACCCTGTTTGGATACTTGAAATGGGCTAAATGTTTCTGTCCTCAGGCCATTTATCCTGGAGTGCCCGACGCGCGACGTGCGTGTGTTCTTTAGCAAGATTCTGGAGAGAATGCTGCACAGTTTTTTCCAGCATGATGGAGTGCCTGTGAGTCTGGTTCCTCCCTCTTGCGTGCTGTGCTGTAGTAGCTTGAAGGATTTTGTTTTGTTTCGAATAATTGTACTTTCATGTGATAATGTGTTGCTCTCAGATCATCAAAGTAAAGGAGTGGTGTGTCTGTGTGTCTAGGTAAATGGGTGTCTGTAGGTGTAAGTGTGTGTGTGTGCGCATGCGTGCATGAGAGAGAGAGAGTGAGAGAGAGAGAGAGAGAGAGAGTAAGAGAGAGAGAGAGGGGAGGGGGGGGAGGGAAAGGAAGAGAGAGAGTGGGTGTACACAAATGCACACTTTTTCGCATACTGGCATTAAGAAACTTATTTTAGTTTAAATGACTGTGTTCTGAACCAAACACTGCACTGCTTTTTTCGTGTATCATAAGAGGTATCAACTGCGTGTCTCACCAAATCAAATGGGTTCGATACATTTTGAATGGGCTGTCAAATGTCTATCGCCCTTTTCTCCCCTCCATTTTTTGTGTGTTTGTTACTGTACCCTCTTGTAACATCTCTAATCTACAGCTCTTATGTGACCTTATTGTGTTGCAATCTTACTTAAACTATAGAATGTGTGTTCCTTATCTTCCCTCCTTTTTTGCTTTTGATACTCTCTTGTATCACCTCTGACCTTGTGGGTGGTTGGTGGGTGCTCTGATGTGGTTTGCTCCTTCTTTGCTATGAAACATCTATCGTCTTTTTCTCCGCTCCTTCTATTTTGTGTTTGTTACTCTCTTGTAACACCTCTAATCGTCGGCACTTATATGACCTTATTGTGTTGCAAGTGCTGTAAAACTCTTACTAAAACTATAGAAGGTGCGTTCCTTATTTCCCCTCCTTCTTTTTTGTGTTTGATACTCTCTTGTAACACCTCTAATCTTCTACCCCTTTTTTTTACCTTATTGTGTTGCAAGTGCCATAAACCTCTTACTAACAACATTTTGCATATGTGTTGTCAGACCCA